GTACTAGGTTACCAGGTCTAAATGGTAACAAGATTGTATACTGGTGTGATCGTTATAGGAGTATGCACATAGGAGACAGTCAGCATGCTAGTGATGACAAGAGACGGGACCAGTTACCAGGCTAGTGGTAATAAACATGATTTGACAAATGTATTTGGAATTAAATGTATGTATGAGTTTTGGGTTACAAATGTCTTTTCATTTATAAAATTATTTGTGAAAATGAGTGGTGTTTTTGGGTTATAAATGTCTATTCATTTATAAAATTTTTGTGATCATGAGATCATTTTGTTTAAATGATTATGTGAGAGAAATTGGAGTACAATTTGTTGTACTTATCTATGTATCAAAGTTAATTTTTTGTATATAAACTGTTAGATTTATTTTCACACCTCATTAGAGGTAGTTTCTATTCAGGAGTCATTGTACTTATACAAACATTTAACATTTTTCAGGTGAGGATTAGGGTGAAAAGTAAATCCATAGAGAGACAAGGGATTAGAGGAATTGAAAATTTATTTTATTGTAGATCTTCAAGAATAAATGTCTTTTGTAATTTTGAGACAAGTATTTAATTATTTTACGAATAATGTAACTCATGTTTAGAGTAGTTAACCTTATGGTTTAATCATTATTTTACATGGGTTTAGTAATAATATTGGTGATGTTTAGTTTATTCTTCTAATATTCATTAGGTCGACGTATTGATTCACTTTATTATTTGTCTTCCACTGTATTTTGCATTTATTATGCACAGAGTTTATTGGTTAAGGCCTTGGTGGCCGGTCCGCGGCCCACCCAACGTGATCCTGGGTGAAGGTGTGACAAGTTTGGTATCAGAGCCTAAGTTTATGAATTATTAGAGGATTAGGTGGAATTTGATTAGTTATGTAAGGTTTAATTGATTTGGTAGAGGGATGTGGAATGATGATATTAGTGCATAGTATTATTGCTTTGGTGACTAAGACAAGTTAGTTTGCATGGTATTTTGTAAAAAGTATAGATGACTACAAGAAAGAAAGAAAAGGGTGCTACAAATGATAGGGTTGCCACTAACGAGTATGCGTACCTAATGATCCAGAGATCAAGAAGCAAGTGATGGAGGAGGCCCATTACTCTCGTTTCACAGTTCATCCGGGAAGTACGAAGATATATCGAGACCTGAAAGAGATATTTTGATTGAATAATATGGTGGAATAATATTTTGATGACCCCAGTTCTGATTGCACTTTTTGGCTGGCGCTCTCTTTTATATCCTATTTAGTTTATATATGTACTTTTATATTGCACGCTCAAGTGATTTGTCTTGCCTAGGAAATATGTGAATTCACAAGGGCAAATCTTCGCGGGGCTTTGTTTGTTGGAGCTAATCTTCAAAGTGCAAACTTGCAGGGCAATTTTTTCTCCTTGTGTTGATTATTTCTCTATTGTCTTTATATCATCTTTTTAAGTCTTTAAGACATGTATGGAAATTAGTACCGGAGTGGCTATCGGACACGTACTATAATTGGAGCTTGAGTTAGCGGGGTTCCAACAACAAACATATATCCTACAGTTTTTAAATTGTGGCTTTATGTTTGAAACTTATGAGGCTAAACACCTTTGGTGATGGGATAGCTCTAAAAGTACTCAACTTATTGTTTGAGCAAAGTTTTTTGTAATTTCCTCCCAGTTCTCTCCCTAAAAATTATGAATATTTGTATATTCGTAAATGTGCATCTGTCATTTGTTCTATTTTCTCTTGCTATGGAACTTCTTTCTCTACCAGATTTTCAATTTTTGGTCTGCTTGACCACATTTGTTGTAGAAGAACCAACCTTCTGCACTCTAGATATTTCTTCTTTCCCCCCCTCTCTCTCAACCTTCTACACATTTGTTGTCAAAAAGTTTTTTCTCCTGTTATAGGAGTGGACATAATGCATTACTAGCATGATAAATGTCATATGGGAAAGTGAAAGTGATGAAAGATAGAGTTGTCCTTTTCTATTCTTCTGATACCTATATATATGAATCAAGGGTGAGAGGTAGGGTTAACAATTGGATTGGCCCCTTTTCACAATTCTAGTCGTCTTTCTTTCTCTATAACAACTATCCTAAACTTGACAATGGTAAACTAGTTTACAACTAATAACTATGTTCTTCCGTTTCTTGTTTGGTTTGGCTGGGTCTGGGTGGGGGCACTTGTTTCTTTTTGGGAACTCGATGGCCTTGGACCCCCCCCAAGTTTTTTTTTTGGGAAAAGAATAAGACCTATTGATTCCTTGTCTTCAGTTATCCATAGATGCATTGGTAGGGTCACTTCTTTCTTTTTGGGGAACTAGGAAGCATTGTCATGCCTTATTTTTTGGAATAAGAATAAGTTGTGTTTGTCTCCTGTCTTCATTTATTCATATAAGTTGTCTCCAACCTAAGTAAAGACCAGAAACACAATGGATATTTTAGTATTGATTTTTTTTTATAGCCACCCAATGTGAGTGGGAGGTTTGGCAGGACCCCTACCTGTATATATCTAAAAAGAAAAAAGTACAAGAGAGGGAGACAAAGAGCCAAGTCTCCATAAGTACAAGGTGGGAGGAAAAGTCAAAAGTACAAAGTGGGATCAATTTTGGATCAATTTTGGTGTCTTTTGTGATAACGAAGAGTGCTATTGGATGAATAGGTGGAGTGGCTACTACAAACTTGGCGTTCACATTGTCTCCCATAAAGGTCAGGAGGAATGACACTTAGTACGCTAAGTGATCTTCAAAATTTTAATTTGCATCTTGAAAGATTAAAAATTTGCCGATTGCACACTCAATCAAATAAAAATATAGTAATGTTGTCCAAAATCATATGTACGTTGCTTTTTTGACAACTTTTTTTTGAAAACTTCAACTGATTTGCTTCAGAATAGAATTTCAATTGCCCATCAATGAATCATGTATCATATGGTGTAGAAGTTACGATGAGCACCCCCACCCCCACCCCCTCGGCACAAAAGAAGCTTTTCTTTTCATCCATTAAGCCTTTTAATGATGTTAAGTTTGAATTAATTAAATGCTCGCAATTTCATGACATCATATGGTGCTAAAGTTAAAAAAAAACCATTTCCGGATATCATGAATCACAAAAAAAATAGGAAAATGAATTGTGAAAACTCAGATATTAAAAGTAAATTTTCCCTATCCAATGTAAACAAGGCAAATTGATGCTACTTTCTATTGAGGGTCACTTCATACAAGATAGGGATAATGTTGGCATAATTATATTAGTGAGGAAAAAAAAAGATATTCGCAACACCAAGTTCTATTCAGTGTTGAATACAGGAATTCTTTCATAATCTTCCAGCAATTAAAAATAATAAGTTAGAGGTACTCAAGAAAAAAAGCAAAAAATTGAGACTCCACCAATACTTTGAACCTAGTTTCTTTCAGTTGGAATTTTATAAAATGTAGAAATGTTTTAAAACTCTTAGGTGGTGGCCCAACATTTTGATGAATTTCTTCAGGAGCAGTTGGGCACTAAAGTGAAATGAATCCACTGCCAGTTAGGCACCAAAGTAATGCCAATGGCACCCACACTCACTAATCTATACCCACTAGCCGTTTGATATAAGGCTACCACCTCCACTCACAAAATACACACTGACTTGCACTCTTATCTGTCAATGGATTGAATTTTGATCCGAATCTGATTAGCCGAATATGAATTATTAATTTTTACCTATTATCCAAATCTATTATGTTATATTTAATGGATTCGGATATGAATTTATCAAATTTGATCCGAATTGTATATATACCTTTTATTTTTATATTTTATATCCCGTGTGAGTTTATATACATCGATAACTTTTCATCTGCAACATTTTTTTCCTTTTTTCTTCTTCTTCACTATTTATAACTAAAATTGAGGTTAGCATATTTAATTTATGTTGCTTGTTAAGGCTTCAAATGAGTAAGCATTATAATTTTTTGGTTCTAACGAGCTAAATTTGTTAAAATTTGTGAGATATTTGTAGGTTGATTTTATTTTGTACACAAACAAATCGGATCGAATTTTTGAACCGGATATCCACAAGTTAATGGATTCGGATATGGATTACAATTTTCAAATCTGTCGGATAATCGGGTCGGATCGAATCACGTAAATTATATTCGGATTCGGATATGATAGAATTTAGTCCATATCAAATCCGTTGACAGGCCTACTCTTATTTCCCCTCTTATATATCTCTCTCTTTTACCAATTTGTTATTATTATATATTATGTATTTTTTTAGATTCTTGATATTTTAGGCAACAAGATCAAGACTTGATAATTTTTCTCTATCGTATGTGCCCGATGTGAAGAGTGGCTGCTAGCTTGGGATTGTATCTTAAAGATTTCATTGCCAATAATATGTGCACGTAGGGAGGCCACAAGAGCTTTAGGACAACGTTTTATACACCTCTCCAAATCGAAGGTGATCACTTTATTTGCTTTTATCTCAATTCTTTTTCAATTATATATTTATTTAGAAAATGTAGTTTATGTATTTAAGGGGATAATGCAAGAAAATTGATTATAAAATAATATTGTGAGATCTAAACAATATTTTAAGTAGTCTAATGTATAATTTTACTTAATTTTGAGAGAGATCAGAGATTTCTTAGGAGTTTAGCTCTAAAAAATAGTTAATTGCACTAGAGTCCCTCATTTGGTGTGTAAATCAATTTTAGTCCTACCGAATTTTTAGCATAAAAAAAGCTCTTCAGGTTTTTGCAAAATCTTGCATGCGGTCTCTGTATTGGCGTGAATGTTAAGAAATTACTTAGTTACTAGTTTTATTACCATAGTTATCAAATCATATATCGGAAGGCGTATCATTTTTTTAAAATAGTGTATCATATCGTAAGATACGACATAATTTTAAATAAATAATAAAAAATATATATATACCTTTAAAAAAAAATCATAGACTCATAAAAACATAGCATTTCATTAATACTCCACTAACTATTTAAGTCATCATAGTTCACTAATATTATAATGCAAAGTTTACACCATCATTCACTAATTCAAGCTTCAAACACCCAAGAGAAGGCAGCGCTGGAGAAGGAAGAAGAAGGCAGCGCAGCTGTAGATCCAGATCCAGATGCAACGACTAGTTTGGTTGCTATGATGGCTTGACTACTTCGATGGCTTGGCTACTTTGATGAAGAATAGAGAGAGGAGAGACAATCTACTTCGATGCCTCACCATGCTGCCTCCACCCCCGCCACACATTTTTTCTTTTAATGTTTTTCTGTTTGAGCATTCAAACGGTGTTTGTTTAATGAAAGCACTTTTCTATAAAATACTTTTAAAAAATAATTGTTTAAGAAGTGCTTTTTGAATTTTATAAGAAATCCTGAACAAAACCTAACTACTGTATGCAGTCATTCAAAGCATCCAATATGTCATAACGAACATTCTCATCAGGTTCCTGAAAGCCAAATGCAGTTCAAACAGATCAATATAAGAGCAAAAACTCCACTATTTAAAGTTCTAAAAAAAAATAAGTGAAAAAAAAAATATTATTTGATATTATTAAGCCTAAAAAATCAGGTAAGATAGACACAACTGACCACATCTGAAGCTTCGTTTAAAGCACGTATGACCCTATCAGATAACTCCTCGACGTATTGCATAGCGTGATCATAGTCCTCTGGGTCGCTGCTTTCTACAACTTCTCTAGCTGAATTCAGTATCTTTGGCATGGCTGTTGCACAAAGTAAAAAGACAGCATAAGAAAATTGACTAAGATCTACGCACACGCGCGCGCTAACAGATAGTAATAATTCGAGTAAATTACAGTTTTACCCCTCTAAACTATTATCCTTATTTTATTTTGTACCCTTAACTATAAAATTTTTCACATTATATCAATTGGAGTGATATGAAATAAAATTGATACTTTAAGGTGTAATATGAGAAATTTAATAGTTAAAGGTAAAAATGAAATAAGAGTAATAGTTCAAGAGGATAAAGTGTAATTTATCCTAATAATTCCAATCGGTCTATCGCACCTGAAGCAGCAGCCATTCTAATTGCTTTGGCAGAATAACATTCCGCAAATGGAAGCACAGTTGGATCTTGACCCCATCTCAAAAATGGAATCAGTGTATGAACAACCTAGATGATTTACAATTGTTTAAAAAACCACTGCCATAACAAGCTTAACAAGGAATATTTAAAATTAGACATATCAAAATTTACCGAACCAATCTCGGGAACAAGTAATTTCGTCAACTCATCAACACACAAACACAGCACGCGACAAGGCATAGCCTTTTCCATTTTCTTTTCTGCATAATACCTACGTGTAATACCAACAACAGTGCAATAAAAATTAAAGTTGTTGAATTAAGAAAGTGAGTTTGGTTGGATAACAAGAAACATCACTATTCATGTGTTTGTGTGTGAATATATATATATATATAGAGAGAGAGAGAGATCACTTTAAAATATTAAAAATATCACTATTATGGAACTATATTTTGTTAGAACTATATTGCAACCAACCGAGTAACATTTGGGTCAAGTTGAGCAGCAGCAGCAGCAGCTTTAAACGCAGGGGACATGAGAATTTTCAGGTAAGGGGAAAAATCCCGCTCTTCGTTTCTCCAAAGTTCTTCCCATGCCTGCAATACAAAATGACATTGAAGAAATGAAAAGACAACATAAAAAGGCTTCACTTCTACTGTCTGCTGGGGCAGTTAATATACTATGCACATTAATTATGATTGAAGAAATCAAAGGCTAACCACCAACAAAATACGGTCTCTACTAGTACCTCTGAAAGAGTATCAACCCTCCGACCATGGATTTCCTAAATTAAAAATGAACGAGATATAAGCTCCATCATAAAATGCCAACTAATTAAATAAGCAGATATATAAAAAGATAACTTCGACAATCTGCTCCTCTAATGCTCTGGCAGTTAATATACTATATACTATACACATTACTCAATTATGATTGAAGAAATCAAAGGCTAACCACCAACAAAATATGGTCTCTACTAGTACCCCTGAAAACCTATCTTCCCACGAATGCCAACAAGTAATTCATGTGCATGCAATTTACATATAAATTTGGATAAAAGACGATACCACGGTATTTTCAATATCTCTTGTCACAATTCTATCAATCATCCCCACGTACCCCCACCTCCACTCCTATTGGATCCACCCATCCCAACACCGACTCAAAACCTGAATAGTTACTTATTATTTTGCTAAATTAAGGAAAATGCAAAATTTAAATTTAAAATAGTTTTATGGGAATAGTTATATAAGTCATATGAAATGATTTAATTTGATAAGATCAATGCACTATTATTAAATCATTCAACATTATAAAAATCTATTACTTGATGAGGAAAGATAGAGAATAGTAGTGAGGAGTTTGAATGGGGTTGAAAGTTTAATCACAACAAACTTTTGAGTAAGTTGAAAACGGATAAAGAGAGTGAGAGACTGATATGTGCAAATTAAAATATATTTAAAAAAAAAAAATCTTAAAATTAGTATCTGAGTTTTAAAACTCATACAAGTACATTTAAATACAAAAACATAGGAAAAAAATATGCCAATTTTAGATTGAGATAATGAGTGTAAGATTTAGCCATATAGGGTCCAAAAAACACTTATATTTGTTGTTTTTCGTAACATAAATGCATATGATTTATTTGACAATGGGCTGGTTGGGATATTGTACTTGCAATATTAAATGATGATATACCTTTGATACTATAAGACAACTCCTTACTCCCATCCAAGTGATCCCTTAGATTGTCCCCAGTGCAATATTTACTGAAAACTAGAATTGCTGAAGCAGCATTGCCCTGCACCATACAAATAACAAAGAATCGATGTGAATTTTTTCTTGTTATAAAAGAAAGAACGTAGTTGATGAAGTTAATAAAACAAGGGCAAAGACGAAAACTACCAACAATGTTCACAATAATAACGATAATGACAACGAACACTAACAATGTCCATTATCTCCTGAGCCATTCATTGCATCTAATCACAAGAAATGAAAAACAAACAAAGAAGCAGTACCGAGCAAAATATTGACAAAAACAACATGAACGAAGTCATGCCTTCATAAATGGTTCAAGGTCCAAATAGCAGTAATTTACATCTTACAAACATAGCCCTAATAGGCAATGGCCATTATCAGCAGGATTGCACACCAGCCAAACATTTCCTGAAGTTAAATCTCCCCTAATACAACACCCGAATAAAGATGAACAAGAACTAGCACACATCAAGCAAGTGGCAACAATTGCAAAGGTAGCTTCCCACATCATACAAAAATACAGTGAATAAAACTTACCTGGATGACACTGGACAATTCAAAAACTTAACTTCAATTGTAGCTTATCAATATTCTGTTGGACTAAAACAGATTTTAGTCATTAAAATTTGATTTTTGGTCAACTTTAAACTTAAATTAAAGTGGGACTCGCTCCTTGCTTCAAGTAAATTTTTGTGCGTTCGTGTTCTACTCCCTGAAGACAATAACGTGGTATATTTTCAATCAATGGGCCTTTGGTCCAATAGTATTTCTTGCCTTGTGAAGGTTTTGCCTTCTTGAGGTCAAGAGTTCAGGTCCCCCATCCCCCTCCCCTCTCAAAAAAATAAAAATAAAAGTTAAAAAATAAAATGGTATATTTTCTTGCTTAAATCTAGTAAGAAATGAATGAGAAAATAGGCTCCAAAGTTTCCCTTTGATTTATGGAAAGGGTGGGATTATTCCCACCCCATTTAATTTATTATTATCAAACTACAAAGCCCACCCCTTTTATACCCACCACATTAGTAACTAAGTTCACCCTGCGCTACATACACTCCATTAATAGTTAAACTCACTTATTCTATGTATACCCCTTTAAATAAAGAGGTCATTGTAAGAAAAAAAAAATAAAAGAACGAAACAAGGAAAAAACAGAAAAAAGAAGCCAACCGAAATAAGAAGGAAAAAAAAACTAAGTAAAGATTAAAGGAACAAACAAAACTACGAGATGCAAAACCGAGTATAAATAAAAAAATAAACATCAAGCATAGATACAAAATCAAATAAGGAAAAAAAAAACAAATATTGATGCAGAACTTTAACAAGATAAAAAAAACAAATAATTTGAAAGTATACATATATATACACGCATATAAATTTTAAATAAAAAGCTAATTAAATTTGACAGAAATATCAAAACATACCGAAAATAATAAAAATCTATATAACAAACATGAAATCAAACATAGAATTAATTTGAGAAGTAATATTAACTTGTATCTTATTGAAAAAATTCATATTGAAAAGTAATTTTTGTGTGTGCATGCAATGAGATAGAGAATAAAGTTCTAATTATGACAAAATATAAAATATGTTTATTTACTAAAAGGAGTGTGTGTAGTATGAGGTGAACTTAGTTACTAATGATGTGGATATAGAAGGAGTGAACTTAATAGTTTGATAATGAGAAATTAAATGGGGTGGGAATAGAAATTTGTGGGGGTGGGAATAACCCCACTCTTATGGAAATAAAAGTTGTGCAATGTGGGATTTGACATGAATCCCACATTAGTTGGGAAAAAAATTCTACATGAGCATAAATAGACCAAGTTTGTTCTATGAGATTGGACACCAAGGGGGTACCACAATTTTATAAGCGGAATGAGTGCTACATGCCTTCAGTTTAATCACACAGGTGCGTCGCTCACTTCGCCATGACCCCGCCCGGCCGGACACAGGTGTTGGTTAGACCCAATGTTATCAGAACCGGACCGGTCATCGAACCGGCAAGGGGACCGGATCAATGGTTCACTGGTTCAACTGTTGGGTCAACTGGTCGGACCAGTCATATAATAAAAAAATAAAAAAATATATATAATAATTATAAAACTTAATAATTTAGCTAAAAAATATAAAATATGTATAAAATACATAAAATTTGCCATAAAATTAATGAAATTAAGTAACGAAGTGAGGGTTATTGTATTTTAAAGCAAAGTAAAGAGGTTCAAGTAAATTATAAAGAAAAAGAAGGGGTGTCTTTTATTATTTTTCCAAGAATAAGGTTAAAAAAAATCAACTATTTACTGATTTAGGGCAAAAAAATTTATTTATGTAATTTAATTTTTAAATAGGCATTAAACCGTCCGGTTTTTATAAAACTGGCGGTTCACGATTTTTGTTAAAAACCGGCTAGTTTTTCGGTTTTTAGCCGGTTAGCTTCCTTAAGCGGTTCAACTAAGGAACCGGACCGATTAGGGTCCCGGTTCACGGTTGAACCAGTCCGGTCCGGTTCTGATAACACTGGTTAGACCAAACCTTATCTTTTTGAAAAAAATTTGTTTAAAGAATTGAGTGTGAATTTCTTAATCCGAAATATAATTTCGGTACCCGTTGGATTTAAAGTTCACACTGATTCAAAATTAGTGCTCCCTTTAGTAATAAATTTTAGTTATATCTGTTCAAGAGTAAACAGTAACACAAAATGGTATCTTCTGAAACACGACAGAATAAATTGTTTTATTTCCAAACTTCACCTTCAACAAGCGTAGATTTATTTCTAATTTTTTTCTATCCCGATCCCGAATTATGTGTCTTTTCAGGTACTTTGACAGATTATCAAGGTTAGTACAAACATACATAAGAGTTAGGTTAGTCCAGTTCAGTTGATTGTGCAATGAAGGTGAAACATCTGAAGGTGAGTGAACAAGATTAGCCTTCTAGTGTGCCTCCGAAGCTATACTGGGTCTAGCTGATCGACCTTCTATCTAAAGCGTGTTTGTCGTCGTGGCCTTCGGATGATCTCTTTGCTGGCTAGTTTGATCTCATGTGTACCCAGTGCCTAACCTTATTCTCCAAGTCACCGATATTGCCTATGGAATTTCCGCTCCAAAAAGGAGAGTCTCGTCTGGATTGTATCCGTTCGACATGATGACTGTCCGGATCACTCACTATTCTCTCTACACCCAGATTAACTCTATTATGCATCATTGAATTTCGGCATTTAAGGTAGTCTCATATAATCCTATTTTCGGCATTAGCAGTTTGCATTTGAGAATACACAACACAATTTCTAGTTCTCTGGGCGAGTAGATTGGAGTACTACTTCTATTCGCTTGAATATCATTGTATGCTGAGAGACAAACACTTTGATTTCTATAAGCACCAAGTGTGGCGGCAAAATTTGTCGTAAAAACATAGTGTCAAACACTAATCTTGATGGTTAGGTACTATGGAAGACTGGAGGACTCTACGAGCTTGCAAGCGGAACTTTAGGGCATCCTAAAGGGCCTTGAACTCGTCCAAAGTAGAGGGTTAGGACCAGTGATGGTAGAAAAAGATTCCCTCGAGTTATCAAATCTTCTTGTTTTTAAGCCACAAGAAACACACCCCAGCAAAGCACTCATTGCCAAGTGTTTTCAACTAATGGAGACGAACATAATACATATTGTGCATACACGCAGGGAAGGAACACCAGTGTGCTGATTTCCTTGCTAACTTGGGAGTCCAACAAGAAGATGCCATGGTGGTTCTTGAAGATCCCCCACCTCAACTGGGGAGACTGCTGAATACAGATTTAGCTAGTGTTGCATTTACTAGAAAGTCTATTTAGTTTTGGTTTAATTTTCCAATGTACCAAAATAAAAACACTAGTCTTGATTTGAAGAAATTTCAATAACAGTTCCTGATCTGCAAACGAGTTAGTTTATATATTGGTTTAATTACAAATTTATGTGTAATTATTTCGTACATACTTAGAACTGCTTCATGCATACTAGTATAACTATTTCGTTCTTGACTGTTAATATTTATTCTAAGTTGCATGATATAAATACGAGGTTTTAATAAGTAATTTTATTATATTTGGAATACCACAAACAACAAATTCAAGAATGTGATGTAAAAAATAGATCCAGTAACAAAAAGGGAGCAGTAGAAGAAGGAAGGGCTAAATGAACAAATGCTTCCAAAACATTCATGACCCCCACTCAACAATTAACAAACCTCTTAAACATGTGTAGTCGTGACATACATATAATGCTTGCACAATTAAACTACATGATCCCCACTCAACAATTAACAAACCTCTTACACATGTAATATGCAATGTTAAAGTACAAATTCATAAGTTTCACATTCCCTAACAGTTTAAACTTTTAGAATAGATAATTGTTTAATATAGTATCAGAGCAGAAGTCCAGTGTTAAGGTCTCGTCGCCACCAGATCATAATTTTTTTTTCATGTGCTAGACATAAAATCTAGCCTATATATAAATATCATCATATGTAAAAAAATAAATACTTGAGTTACATTCTTCCTAACAACTTAAACTTTTAGAATAGACAATGATTCAAAACAATAAAAATAAATATCATCATCGAGTGATCTCTTCTTTCATAAAAATGGTAGACTATAATTTGCATACGAAGGGCAATTGAATTGTACTTGTCCGTGAGATAGACAACTAGTACTTTTATGAACAAAATTTTATTCCTTCATATTTAGGAAAAATAGCTCAGGAAGTGTTGGACAAAAATTGATTTTTTTTTTTTTGATAGACTTTGAGCCTATATTAAAGTGGGACTCTCTTATGAGTTTGAATAAATTTTTTTGAGTTTGTGTTCTATGTATTCCGCGAGAAGAATTACGTAATATATTCATTTGTTCAAATTGAGTAAGAGCTCAATGAGAAAATAGACTATAACGTGATACTCTTAGAATGTGGAAATAAAGGTTGGGGCAAAGTGGGATTTGACACTAATTTCACATTGGTTGGGCAAAAATACTTAAGTTGCACTTTGGGTTTCACCTTCCATTATGCAATTG